ACGCCCGAAGTGTTCCAAGGCCTACGGAAAGGCCCGTGTCTGACGTTTTTCGCAGCCGCGTCTCTGGTGAATAGAGAGATCTGGATATCGGCCAGGTTTAGGGCCGCGAAGCCTGACATTGCACGTTTGTTGGATAAGGCCGCCCAGAGCGACCAGAGCAAATGGGCCATCATCGCATCAGTTGCTGAGTTCGAGGCAGCGCGGCACGCTGCCAAAATGAAGTCTGGAGTTCTAGGCCTAGCTACTGCTGTGGAAGTGTCTGCAATTAAGACTGCTATGCCCGCGCACGCAAAGCACGTATTTGAGTTGCCCGCGTTTCTTGCTTACAACTCCAAGCTCGACAGGGGTCGGTCGAGGAACGGTATTCAGTAAAACAATAAACATCATCATCATCAACATAATCCTCAACCTCCTCATCATCATCATCGTCGCCGCAGGGAGGTCGCCGGTAGAGAATGAGGCAAACGACGATCACGATGATGATGGGGAGGAGGGAAATGATAATCAAGATGATGATGGCGATGATGAGGAGGACGAGGAGGAGGAGGAGGAGCAGGAGGAGGAGGAGGGCGGTGAACAGCTGGATGAGCAGGAGAAACGGCAGGAGGAGGAGGCCCCCCCCCGCCCCGAGCAGGGCCGCCCTCTCCCTCGCCCCCTCCTCCTCCTTCTCTTCCTCCTCCTCATCCTCGTCCTCCCTCCTCCTCCTGCTACTCCCCCTCCTCCTCCTCCTCCTTCTCCGCCTCGCTCTCCCTCCTGAGCCTCCTCTTCTTCTCCTTGCTACTCCCCTTCATCATCATTCTCCATCTCGCCTTCTCCCTCTCCCCCCTTTCCCTCCCTCCCCCCGCGCACGCGGCGGCGGGCGGCGGCGCCTCGTCGACGACGAGGCGCCGCCGCGAGTTGTCGTCGCCCAGCCGGCGTCCGGCGGCGGGAGTGGGGAGGGGGGGGGCAACTGCTGGCGGGAGCGACGACGACGACGACGACGACGACCGCGCCCCGCCAGGACGACGACGACAACAAGTACTACAACACCCATGGGGGGCGGGGGCAGCGCATTTTGTTTGTGTTTTCCTTGGGGGCCCTCCTCGTCGCCGCGGCTGGACGCGGCTCGGCGGACGCGTCGTCGTCGTCGCCGCCGCCGCCGTCGTCGACGCCGTCGTCGCCGTCGCCGTCGTCGGGTCGTCGCCGTCTTCGTTGGCTTCGTCGCCGTCGTCGTTCGTCGTCGTCGTCGTCGCCGCCGTCGTCGTCGTCGCCGTCGCCGTCGCCGTCGCAATCGCCGTTGCCGCCGCCGCCGTCGCCGCCGCCGTCGTCGCCGTTTCGATCGAAATTCGAGGTTCGAGGTTTTCGATCGAAGTTACAGTTTATCGACTTGAGACCCCATGGACCTTCGAGGCCCCATATGGCCCCATCGAGGATCGAGGTTCGAGGCCCCATATGGCCCCATCGAGGGCCCTGCGCGTCGCCACGGCTGGGCGCCGCTCGGAAAACTCGAAGACGATGATGAGGACGAGGGTGGGGATGAGAATGGGGTCGATGATAAGGAGGAGCAGCAGCGTCAGCAGCATCAGCAACCGCAGGATGAGGAGGAGGAGGATGAGGAGGATGAGGAGGAGGAGGATTAAAGCCAGTCTCAACGCATTCGGGTGCTTCATAGAGATTCGGGTGCTTCATAGCGATCCTCCTCCTGCTCCTGCTCCTGCTCCTCATCCTCCTCCTCTTCCTCGTCCTCTTTCTCCTCCTCCTCCTCCTTCTCCTCTTCCTCCTCCTCCTCCACCTCCTCCTCTTCCTCCTCCTCCTCCTCCTCCTACCAGGCGGGGTGGAGGGGGGGGGGGGGGGGGGCGGAAGTGAGAGGAATGAGGAGGGGGGGGGGCGAGGGAAGCGGGAGGAGTTAGGATCGCGGGGGGAGGAGGGGGAGGCGGAGGAGGAGGAGGAGGGAAGTAGATAGACAGGGACGGCGAGGAGGGAGGGAATTGGGAGGATGGAGGAGGGCGGGAGGGACGGGAGGGAGGAAGGGAGGGAGGGAGCGAGGGAGGGGGGGAAGCGAGGGAGGAGGAGCAGGAGGAGGGAGTAGAATGGGCAGGAGCAGGAGGAGGAGGAGGCGGAGGAGGAGGCAAGGGACAGGGAAACAGGGTTGGAGGAGGAGGATGAGGAGGAGGAGAGGATGATGATGATAATGAGGAGGAGTCATGCTACTGCGGGGGGGGCTAAGGAGGAGGAGGATGAGGGGGAGGAGGAGGAGGGGGAGGAAGGAGGATAAGACGAGCAGGCGGAGGCATATACGTCTTCATACACCTACATACATACGCATACACATACACATATGTGGGCGTCATATACATGTGCAGATGTGCATGTGTATGTGTATGTGTGTATGCGTATATGTGTATGTGTATGCGCATATGCGTGTGTGTATGTGTCTATGTGTATGTATATGTGTATGCACATATGCGTATGTGTATGTGTGTATGTGTATGTGTATGTGTAGCTACACATACACATACACACAGATTCATCCGAGTGATGAACACGTTTCATTTCTACTGATTGTGGTGTCGCCGTCGTCGCCGTTGGCGTCGGCGTCGAAAAAGGAGTGCGTCGTTGGGACCCGTCGGCGTCGTCGTCGTAGGAACCCGCAAGAACCTTGCTAAGGACCGCCCAGCCGGGGCGAAGAGCTGCCCCCCGGGGGGGGGGGGGGAAGAAAAAGTGGCATAAACATAAAAACTCGGAGGTCTGCGCGGATTTCTCGGATCGGCGCTGGGGCCCCCCGGCGGCGCCTCTGGCGCCGCCCCTGGCGCGCGAAGCGCGCCAGGGAGGGGGGTCCAGCGCGATCCGAGAAATCCGCGCGGACCTCGGAGCTTTTATGTTTATGTCCCTTTGTGTTCCCCGAGGGGAGGGGGGGGCGCGCGGGAGGGGTCGGGACCCCAGGGGGCCTCGGGCGGAGCGAAGGCCTGGTCGTCGGGATGCCCAGGGGCGGCAGGGCGGGCCTCTGGCGGAGCCACAGCCTGGGCGCTCGTCCACCGGGAGCTCGGGGCCGGGGGCCTCACTGGCTCCTCCTCCTCCTCCTCCTCCTCCTCCTCTCCTCCTCCTCCTCCTCCTCCTCGCCTCTCCTCCTGCTCCTCCTCCTTCCTCCTCCTCCTCCACCTCCTCCTCCTCCTCCTCCTCCTCTCCTCCTCCTCCTCTGCCTCCTCCTCCTCCTCACTCCTCCTCCTCCTCCTCCTCCTCCTCCTCCTCCTCCTCCTCCCCCCTCCTCCCCCTCCTCCTCCTGCTCCTCCTCCGCTCCTCCGCCTCCTCCTCCTCCTCACCTCCTCCTCCTCCTCCTTCCTCCTCCCCTCCCCTCCTCCTCCTCCTCCTCCTCCTCCTCCTCCTCCTCCTCCTCCTCCTCCTCCGCCTCTTCCTCCTCCTCGGGGCCATGAAAGATGGATCCTGGAAGGAACACCGCCTCACCGAGGGACGGGGGCGGGTCGAGGCATCTGGGGCCCGCAGGTTGAGGCACCAGGCCTTGTTCTTGAGCTCGACAGCTCCTCTGCACGAAAACGTATGCAAGGGAGTGGCGGTGTGGGACGCCACCCTGCCACTGGAGACAAATTAGCAATGGAACACCTGCGTGGGGCTCCCACGTGTGAACTCTCACTCCCCTGCTGCTGTGATGAGGGCGCAAGCCCTTATTGCCTAGAGTGCTCCAGCCCATGAGAGTGGCAACCACCTTGAAACGTCACAACCCGTCGGGGGTCTGGAAGGCCGGGCCGGAGGGTCGAGGCCGTCGAGGCTCTCGGATCCGCAGTCCTCTTCTCCCCGTCCCTCCTCGGCCTCCCCTCCTGCTCCTCCCTCTGCCGTCCTGCTGTGATTCCGCCTCACCCCTCCCGCCGCTGGCCTCCTCCTCCTCGCCCCCCTCGTCCGCATCCCGAGCATTGTAGCAGGACCAGGGGCAGGAGCACAGTGCACACGTGGACCACGCGGGGAATATGCAGGAGGGCAGGCGGGGAGGACGACGCACCGAGGAGAGGGGAGGAGGGAGGAGGGACGACGAGGCAGGCAGGAAGAGAGAGGTTAGGCGCAGGGGAGCAGTGGAGGAGAGGAGGGGAGGAGAGGGGGGGGGGAGGAGGAGGGGGCGGAGGATGGGGAGAGCAGGGCGGAGGGTGACTGCGGCTTGCGTGGGAAAGAGAGCGTGCAGCACGGGTTCTCGGAAGGCACGCTGACCCTGTGCGGCCCCTTCTGCGCGCGCCGTCCCCCTGCCAGGGCCTCTTCGGTGCACGCCATCTCCAGGGCGGGGGGGATGGCGTGCCGTCCGCGGGCCGGCGGCGTCACATCGCGCGCCATGTCTCTCGGACACCAGCGCCGCTGGGCCACCGCTGCCCCGCCAGCCAGCGCGGAGGGAGGCGCGGAGGGGGCGGGGGGGGAGGGCAACGAGGGCAGGGCGGAGGAGGTACGAGGGGCATGCCGTGAGGGGCGAGGAGGGCGAGGCGGGGGGGGAGGGGGGGGGCGATGGACGAGGGAGGGGGCGAAGCGGAGAACCATCGGGCCCAGTCTCTCCCCTCAGTTACAGGACCAGATCAGTTTGGATCTGAGTGGCTGCAGGGGCAAAGTTCCCACGGAAAGGGCCCTGCTGGCGGGGAAAGCGCACCAGCCTGGAAGCGGGGGAGGAGGATGGGAGGGGAGGACTGGGGAAGAGGCGAGTGGGAGGGTAGAGGCTTTCCTGATGGGACTCGGGCAGATGGGGTCGAAGGGTCGCCGCGCATCGCCGATGCAACGCCGATACCTCGGCGATGCATCGGCGGAGTAGGCGATGCATGGGCGCCGTCGGCGTGGAGAAGATCGGGCTCCCCATCGCGCCACATCGGCGATGCGGCGCGATCCTCCAACCCCATCTGCGCTGACCCCATCTGGCAGGGGAGGCCTGGAGAGGGGGAAGAGGAGGGGGGAGGAGGGACGAGGAGGGGACGAACGGGGGACGACTGTCAAGAGGGATTGGGAGGCAACACCGGGAGGTGGACACAGGACAGGGC